AATCTCTTCTACAGATATGTGGGCAGCTAGTGCTCAGATGCATTCCTCATTATTGTAGGTCAAAACAAGCCTAACTTCATGTAGCTTATCTAAATAAGATAGGACATTACCTATAATTAAAAAAATCTGCAAATATCTATAGAAATATGAATGTTTTCCTTTTACTAATGGTTGCAATGATTGAGCTGTTTTTTTTTTTTTGGTTGATTTGTATTTTAATGAGTGGGGACTTTTTTTTTTTTTTTTTTTATCTCTAACAGTTTTTAAAGGAAAGTGTACATGGAAAAAAGTGGGAAAAAAATGCTGTTCAAATTCAGGAGCTGCATCCTCCGAAGGCCAGATTTGTAGGCTGATTACATCATAGGTCTGCTCGAATTGCAACACTCCTCGTTATGCAGCCGTCAAATGCAGCCTTCTTTTTGCCCATTTTTAAGGAAGGGTTGGGGGTATCCTACTGTATGTAGCCTTTGGTAACAGTGGTGAATATTGGAAGTACAGTTTATTACAATACAAGTATGTGAAAAGTTACATCTGAAATAAATGAAAATAATTGTTTTAAATGGTTCTTGAGTCAGATATGTGGTGGTTAATGTATGGTTTATTGAAAGGTTTTTATCTGTTACCGTGTAAATGGGTCTGGTTGTCATTTAAGGACAGACTACATTCTTTTCTTGCTTTGTGTGTCAAATGTCACAATTGCTAGGCGTACGGCTGTGAAAGCTGAGGAATGCTGGACCTGTTGAATCCACAGCCAAAACTCGTCCGGTCTCATCATTTTCACGGACCTCGAAGGATCCAGTCCAGGTGGACAGGTCCTTGGAGGATGAAGATTTTGAAATCTAACACACCCAACGTCTTCAAACTTTGGGAAGCATTGACGTACTAAAATATCTGATGATTTATTAGGGAGTGAGTTCTCACATGTCTTGTGTGTAATTAGATGAGAAATATGGCAAAAACTGTTCGAGTGCATTCATGTCTGCTGGTTTTGGTGTTGCAACTTTTAGAAATGATCAGAATCCTGGCTACACAATGTCCCAGAGTTTCTAATCATAAAGCTAACTAAATAAAAAAAAAGTAAATAAACAAAAACAAAGTTTAGGCTGGTCTACCCTACTGAGGCTTGTAATGACTTTGTAACGTTTTTTTTTTTTTGCAGATCCATTTAGTTAAGCATTTAGTTCATGATGTGGAAAGTAAAACTGCTTTTAAATGAGAGAGAACTCTGAGAACAGTGGAAAGAAACACTGAGCTGACTGGACTTTGATCACTGAGACAAACTTTCTGCACCAGCTCATTAAAAAGCGGCTCATGTTTTTTTTGTTAATCTCGCTGTCATCTTGAAAAACGTTTAGAGAAAGGTGAGCACTGAGAGAAAATAAAATGGAGGATTTTAAGATCTCAAATTTGGATTATATTTAGAGGGATAGATAAATTTGTATGAGAGAGCAGTAGCATAGCTCCCCTGATAAAGTCATTAAAGTATCTGCTTTTGAAATGGTAAAACTCATAAATTAATCTTATCCAGCCAACTATTTTGATCATTTTTTAAACGAAACTGTATCTTTTCACAGTAGTACACATTTTCAGTTTATCATCCAAAATTTTTCTCAGGGGCATGTGGTTAAACTTTTAGACAAATCATAATTGACAGAAAAAACAACAACATATTCTCACTTAAACTGTTTCTGTAGATTCATTGATCTATGTATATTAACTTAAGAACCATGTGATCAAAGTTGAAAAAAGAAATTACCACCAATTTTTACTACCAAGAAAAAGTTTTTCCTCACACACTTAAAGTCAAATATCATTGATGTCACTGGGAAAAACTCTGAAAAATATTTCAGAAGGCTTTCAGGCCTGAAATCAAATAAAAAAAAACGTATTGTTCTAGATGTTGACAAAAGTTAACATTCTAATCTAGATTACAAACAAAAGTTAGGTTAAAATTGAACACGCTGTTATGTGCTTTCTGCAGATTAATTAATTAATATGAAATTAAACATTGACTGCTCACTTATAAACACAAAAAAAAATTAATTAAAAAATAATAATAAAAAAAATATAACAACTGCAGTGAAGTGTTTTTCGTTTAAAAACAGTTAATCATTTTAAAGAATGTATCTATTAAACAACAAAGCAATGAAACAAATTTTTGTATTCTAAATGAAAGTGTTCACAGTAAACACATTGAAGCAAACAAACTCTACTATCAGGGGCAGATTTAGAAAATTTGGGGCCCTGGGCAAAGAGAGGTAGGGGGCCCTCTGAATTGAGAAGACAGCACATAAAACAGACCCATTACACAGATACAGAAATTTTAATAGAATAGACGTGCATCATTTGTTCTACCTTTTGTCCCTCTCTTCTTGTCCCTTTTCTTGTTGTTTTCCTCTCTATGTTTTGTACTTTTGACTTTTCATGCTGTCTCAAAAGGAAAAAAAGATTTTTTCCAATCACTAAGCTCACTTAGCTGATTGCTCCTTCTTGTGTTTCCAAAAAGGCAAAAGTAAATAACCCAGTCCTTCTTTTCACTGTAGACAAGCCATGGTCTGCTTATCGTTTCTCCATTTTTAATTTGTATGAAATAATAGCTGCTTTTATATTTGTTGCCAAAGTGTCCAGTTGCAGACAAAAGTTGCTAGATTTGAAGCTAGGCTGTCTGTTTGGACCTGGCATTTTAGCGGAAGGATTTTTATCAAAAACATAATTAATGTGCATAAATAAGGAAAAGTTGTATTAACCATACATGTAAACAGAGTTTTATGGGGCCCCCAGGAACTTAGGGTCCTAAGCAACTGCCTAGTATTGCCTAATGGTAAATACCCCCCGTCTACTACGAGGCTCTCCCAGATAACTAAGCTAAGACAAGCCTAAGAGAAGCCCATCAAACCTGCAGAAAAAGCTTATTTCAGCCACTTATATTGTTCGGTCGATCATGATCCAGATTTCACGATTATGGGTTAGGGAAGGAAAGGAGAACAACAAGTAAGTTGAGAGCTTTGCCTTTTCCCTTTACCAGCATAAACAGTTGCTGTGTTTGTATTATACCAGCAGCTGCACTGATCCTTCTATTAATCTCCTGCCTTGATTCTCACCTCACTTGTGATAGTTGAACTCCTCCACTCGAGGAAGGAACTATTCTCCAAACTGAAAGGGAGAAGCTACTTTTACAAAATCAAATGTCAAATAAATATTTTAAGCCTATTTACTTACAGCTGGTTAGCAGTGCAGTAAAGAGAAAACAAGTTGTTTGTCCTTATTTAGCAACTGCAATAGATCTACTGGTATTGGGAGACCACACTGATGAATTACCCGGGATTCAAGTTACCGAGGTAATTTAAATCCTGGGGATTTAAATAAGTGAAAAGGCCAGTTCTCTGCAAAAGTCTGGAGGGGTTCAGACGGATCACAGACCACAAACCTAACGCCTTCCCTGAAGGTTGCATAACATCAACAGTTTATCTGTTGACCCGGTGCAGCTAGCTGGAGATCAATGCTCTGCTCTAAAAAAAAACATGGAGATGGTTATGGATGCTTGTGTGTCACCTGGTCACCAAAACAAATTCCTTGTTTTGTGCAAAACACATACAATTTGGCAAGAAAGCTTTTTTCTGATTAACTTACAGAACTGTATGTGCTGGCCAGTGTATCCTCCTTCAGTGGCTCCAACTTAGGACCCTAAAACCAGAGAGCAATAGAATTGAAAAAATCTAATGGCTAAACAATGATGGGAAACATTAGAGAATTGGAGAAAAACACTGCATCCGAATACATCTAGAGTTAAAAACAGAATCAAAATCCACATGAAGCTTAATTCAATTTTCAACATTTTCCATTTTGAATTGTTAATATTAAAAATTTCCATACAATGTCTAGATTTAAATGTTGAATATAAAATTTCTAAAATAATACAATCTAATTCTAAATGTTATGTCATTATCATTATACGCTGTCTGAATGAATTATAATTTATGTATTCTTTCTGTGTATTTTTTGTTTCGTTATATTTTGCAAAACAGTTTATCATAGGGAGATAACTGTCAAAGTGACTCTCCCCTTAAGTTCAGAAAATCAGAATTAGAATAAATTAAAAGGTGCTGAGGTCAGTGACTGATGCATTTTGGAAGTTAAATAGGACTCCTGTCCCACTAATTACCGTAAATAAAAACATTAATACCTTGACATTTTACAACCATTTTAGACTCTATACTATGTAATCTGAAGCAATGCTATTTTATCATAAAATTAATTCAATGTGAAACTATGGAGCAAGCTTTTTATCTCATACACTCATTGCCTTTTATTTCAGAGGAGAGGCAGATGGTGTGTGCTAATGGTGTCAGTGTGGAGGTGCTGGGTTGGATATTGCACTCCGAATATCCTGCAGGTCATGATTTACTTTGATATTGCACTCTAAGCCCCTCTGGTCTGACAAAATAGACAACTGGAGAGGGCAAAAACATGCTTTGAGAAAGAAGAGATAAAAGAGAAAAAAGAATAAGCATCAAAGGTTGTAATAAGAGGAGTTAATAAGGGAAGAGCAGACAGAGCTGGAAAAAGAAAGAGCAGGAGAGCGTGAAAGAGGCTTCAGGATGTGTGGTGAGAATTGGTCATGGTATGAGAGCCGGAGGTGACTGGTCTTGGTGTTTGACAGGGATACAGATCTGCAGAGCTCCATTTAAAATGGCACCCACTTTTCTTTTCAAGCATACTCAGAACCCACAGAAAATCAAAACACACGACACAAATTATTACATGCAGCAGTCGCAGGATACTCAGAATAAACTCATAGCTAGTTTTCTATGTTCCTGCTGAAATTCACGAGTCTTCACTGTTAAAAAAAAAAAAAAGAAGAAAACTCAAGTAAAATTTCTATACAACTAGAAAGTTAATTAAATAACTTCCACCTTATATTTTAGGGAAGAATTTTTAAATTTATTTTATTTTATTGCATTTTTAGCTATTACGTTAAATTCAAATTATTCCTGTTTAAATAGTTTTTTACAGAAAAAAAATAAATCTTATTTTCTCATGAAATGATTACTGGCGCATGCTGCTTTTCAATAGTTCAAGAAAAATAAATAAATAGAAAGCAAGCAACTAGGGGCAAACATATCAGCAGCTACAATTAAAAAACAGAGCCAGATGAACTGTGGGATTTTTTTTTTCACTGGTGCCAAATGACAGAATTCTGCCACCTGCAATTATGGATAAACTGCCATTTGTCTGTTAAACAAAGGCACTTGAATTTAATCTGTATCTGGCTATCTCTTAATAGCTTTGAGTGGTAAGAGTTTATTTCTTCTAAGCTGACTCCAAACAGAACCAACCAATTAACATAGCTGAACAACGTTTTTTTTGTTGGTTTTTCATGTTTAAAATGTTTAACAAATAAAATGTTATTAAAATGCAAAATATTTTTCTTTGTGATAACTGACAGCATATCGTTTTAGGCGTCTCTGCTCTTTTAATGGAATATAGCCTGATGTCCAGTATTACAATATTTAAAAATATTAAAAAAGATATGAAGAGATAAAAGCTCATGGATGTGAACTTTAAGTCCCTGATTCATATAAAAACTTAAATAATAACTATATATAAAGGGTGCTACAAAGAAAAACCCCACATGTCATACCTGACACTCCAGTTTATCCAAAAGTTGCTGCAGTCGATTGATCTGAGAGCACCAGTTCTCTTCATCTTCTATATTGATGTCTCCTGATAATTGAAATAGAAACTAATTAATTAAACAAGTATTCAATTCATGTTGTAACATACCTAAACAAGATGAACAATTTTCTAATAAAAAAACAGTTTCATACAGTATATTGTCAATAAAACAGCCATAACCTCATGAATTGCTCAAATTCTTCAGGAAAACTGCATCAGTGACACAAAGACAAGACATTTGGTTTATATCAAACTGCAGCCATTAGAAATCTAATTACCCAAAATCTTCAGAGGCTGAAACATTTGCTCACAGTTAATAGTCGCATGGAAAAGAAAAATAAACTTTATTACCTTGAAATTCAAAACAAAATAGTTGTAGATCCTATCACTGAACTGAAACATTTTAAAAATAATATTAAGCACAAAAGTAATTTGCCCAAATTAACTTTGTGGAAATTGTTTTGTGAATCGATTTGTGTTTTTTCTATGTTAAAAATAAGATTGAAGAGATAAAACAAACCATTTTAAGATTAAAAACAAAAATCCATAGAAATAAAAACAGCATGTGAAATAATAAAAAAAAATCCTAATAATTATAAAACCTCATTTTACACTATCATAGAGCAGGTAATTGTTCAATATTATAAAGTAAAGTTACAATTAAATCTTATTCAAACTGACAGATTAGTATTAGGAGTAATTACATTTATCAAGATATTTTTTATGACTGAAAGAACATTTACACTTTGGGATCACCCAGAGTCCTGACATGATCCTGTTAAATAATCTGTGGAGGGATGTTAAATTGTGATACATTTTTCCGCAACATCATGCCACCTTACTTCAGTAACTAAAGCTGCAAATGTTAAAAAACCACAGCACATTATTTTCTTTTATCTTATTAATTGACAAAAAACATGGAATGTATTAAAGAACTTATCGGGTGATAAATAATTGTTTGTAACCTATACAAATATCATTATGTAATTCCACACTGTATTGATTTCTTATTGACAATTCAAATTTTTTAAAGCTTGAAAGTTAGACCCAAGGGCCGTCCTAAAGGGTAACCAATAAAGATATCCAATAGCACATATTAATATGATTGACATATTCTATCAGTCAGATGATGCTTTAAATAGTTAAAACTGCATTTTGGCAATTTATTTACACAATTAAATATTTTTGCTAAATAATGACTGCAGATGAATAATTTTACCTTTTTTTGAAGAAAGAGAATGAACTTGCTCCTACTGAAACTAACAATTACAAAGACGTTAATACATAAATATGGATGCTTTTTCTTAAATACAAGAAAAATACCTATCTTGGCAAACTGTATCAGCAAGGCTGTTTGCTTGGTGACACTTTTTTTTAGAAACAGCTCTACCTTTGCAAATAGTTTCAGATTACTTTGTATTGCGCAACTCAAACCTTTAACAAACCAGTCGGTCTGAGTGACAGCTCCCTTTAGTCGGCTCAAACAGGCAGGAGCCATCAGGGGATTCGGAAGGGTTGCACTTGGTCAGCAATAATGTAAAAGTGGGTGGCATGTGTCAGAGTAAAACACAAGTGACTGAGGCAAACAAATGTTTCTACGAAAACACTGCATCAAACTTCACCCTCTGTTTGACAACTTATCTTATTTCTATGGCCTATCCTTGTGCCATATCTAATTTAAACAATAAAACTGACGCTTAATTGACGCTATAATGATGCTTAATGTAAAAAAAAAAAATGTCTTACTCTACAAAGAATATAGGGTACATATACATTCGACTTAGAAATGTATTTTATTAGACATGAACATATGAATATCTTCTTTTTCAAAACTGAAAACAAATGATACATTACCTTTACCTGTAGTGGGTGTCCTAGAGCAGGGATCTGACGAAGACACAAATAGGTTGTTATAGACCCTGCGACCACACCGTCTACCATTTTTCTGTACTGTTATCGGCTCTGGAGTCTTTATCTCCTGCCTGCCATGACAGCGATTGGAGACCCATGGAGACAAACATCAGAGAGAGAGAGACGGCAACTGTCAGAGAACTGTAGAGGAAACAAACCAAAGATATGGCAGACAGAGATGTTCTCAAGGGTGAAAAGAGAAGAAGATATAGAATAAAATAGGCGGAGAAATGATGAAACTGGGAAAAGCAATGCAAGAGGAATATAAAGAGGAAGGTAGAGGTAAAAAGCGAAGATAGGGTAATATGCAATTCTAAGTGGGTGTTGAGCAGTAAGTGGACAGAGCAATAGACTTTGTGAAGTGCTCTTCCACCCTCAAATTATCACACTTATACCAACTCACACAGTTCTGTATAATTGAAAAAATGTGCTGGCCGCAGTAGAAAATATGTGTCAAAAGCTGCCACTCAGACTGCTTCCGGACGTTCACACCTTCTAGCAAGTGTGTGTGAATACTTTAATTTCATTTTTCTATTTCTCTGCAGGTGGCCAAACACCTTTGCACATTTGTGAGGCTTTGTTATAGTGTTTCCCTTTTGCCTTATTTTGTTGGACCTTTATGTTATCATGTATTTCCATGTTTGTATGCAGCATCCTGCTCACAGCACAGAGGGAGCATATTGCCAGGAGGTTATCATGCTGAGAACCTGAAATCCAAAGGCCACGGGCAAAGCTGCCAATCTGTCAGACAACAGGTGTGAAGGAGTTTATCTAAGGACTCAAGTAAGCATTACTTCTATTACTGACAATCACACACATCTTGTAACATTGATGCAACAGTTTGAAGGACAACTTGTTTCTCTTGAAGTCTCTGTGACTACTTTGTTGTTTGGAGTCATTATTGTGCTATTTTTGCTCTTTAAATTGGTGGTGCATGCTTTGTTATTCATTATCCATTAGCTCCATCTCTGCCTCCCGGTGTCTCGCAATAATTCACTTAGGTTATAAGCTCTATATTTGCTATTTCCAACAATACAACTGAGGCACCCGGCAGGGGTGGGTAGAGGAGCTCTACTAAGCCAATAAAAAAACATAGTCCAACTAACAGTTATGGGTCACAGGGGCAGCAGTCTCAGCAAAGACTCACAGACTTCCCTCTCCCCAGACACCTCCTCTTAGAGAAGCCTGATAGGCTCCCAGGCCATCCGAGAGACATTGTCACCCCATTGTGTCCTGGGTCATCCTCTAGGCCTCCTCCCTGTTGGGACATGCATGGAACACCTCCTGAAAGAGGCATCCAAAGGGCATCAGAAACAGATGTCCAAGCCACCTCAGCTGACTCCCCTTGATGTAGAGGAGATGCAGCTCTACTCCAAGCCTCTCCTGAAAGATTGAGCTCCTCACTCGATCTCTAAGGGAAAGCTTTTGTTTCAATAGAAAATGTTGGAAGAACATGACCATCAATATATTCTCTAATGTGATGTTTTGTTATCTAATCTAATGTAGGCCTAATCTAATTCTATTGAAAGTTTTCTAAATAAAATTTTACTTAAAGATGCATTAATGAGTCTTCTAATGGTACTGCCACAGAACTGCAGCAATCTTCTACTCGTTCTCATAGCTTGCAATCGAACCTGTCAAGGTTTTTTTTTTTCCACCTTACGTGGAGTTGCCATTGATGTCTGAGTTCAGCCAGTCGGTTCTGTGTCCACAAAATTTAACTTGAATATAAGGTCTTCATTGTTTGCTAGATTGGACCCATTTAACATAGATGAGCTTGACGTCGCAACCGCCTTACAAAGCAGGAATTTCTGTTTCCAAGTAAATTAAGGAAATGAGGCCGAGATATTTTCTTTATATAAATGAAAGAAAAAAAGGTTTATAGATTCATTGGTGCTGAACTACTTAGGCGTCAGTCTGCTCGTCAAATGATCTTTAGATGAGCAGATACACCCTTGACAATTTGGCAGTCTGTTGTAGGGCAACACAGAGACATATAGAAACATACTGTACGAAGATGCAACACATACTCACACCTAAGGACAATTAGAGATGCTAATAAACCTAAAATTCAGGTTTTTGGACTGTGGGAGTACCCAGAGAAAACCTCCACATGCACAGGGAGAACATGCAATTTTCATTGAGTAAGACCCAAGTCCTTGAAGTGAACCAAGGACCATCTTGCCGCCAATATATTTTAAATAGGCCAAAAGGCTCATAGGTCTTTTGTCCCAAAAAACCCACATTTCCCCTTGTTCAAAAGTAGGCTACTTCCAGTGGCCCTGTGTTTTTTTATATTCATCTGATCATGTGACTCCTGACCAGCAAGTGGCCATCAGAGGCTGATTGCCACTCGTTACCCCCTGTAAACTACACAACAAAGGATGCACAATGAGGATGAAACCCAGCCTATTCTATAAAATTGCCGCACAACTGAGAAATCTGCCCAAAAAGGACAAAGATAATGTACAGTGTATGCCTACCCCTCTAGTAGACAGCTGCAATTTTTCAGGATGTGATTCTTAGTGCAATTAAAGATACATCTATTAAAAATTATCTTATTATCCAAAATGTGGGCTGAAAACTTCGATATTAATTTGTAATATTATGTATTCCTAATTTTATTTACCCTTTATATTCATATCTCATATAGACCTCCAGTTCTCATGCTGGATTTCAGCAACACTAATTTTAACAAATACTTCATGTCTTTATTAATAATAGGAATAATTTAATTATATTATTTCCTGGTAAAAATCTATCAAAAGACTATTTCTATTTATATAGACTAGTTATTTTTTCCTAAATATCAAGCTTATCTTCATGGTAAACAGAAACAGGATTATCTACAAAACTGAAAATTATTGAGAAATATTGTGTAGTCAATAACTTATTGGCACGGTTAGAGTGTATTGAGTCTATAGCCGAACTTCATAGAAAAATCTTTTATCTCCTCCTTCATTGACCTCTCTGATTACAATCTTTTTTTTTAGTGATCCTTATTCTGTTCAATGACAGTTTAATTTTTCGGTCCTTAACTAGGTAAGAAAAGGCTCCTTTCAGTCAAATCCAGAGATGGCAAAAGTACTCACTTTCCGTACTTGAGTAAAAGTACAGATACTTGTGTTAAAAAATACTCTGGTAAAAGTGGAAGTACTGATTAAACTTCTTTACTCAAGTAAAAGTAACAAAGTACAGGCTTGTAAATTTACTTAAAGTATAAAAGTAAAAGTAGAAACCACTTTTTTCATGCCGTTGCCTACATTTTAAATGGATGTCTGCCAATAGGACTAGATCTCCGTTGTGTTCATTTTCAATCATCTCGTCGTCCATGCTACTATGCCACCGCCGAATCTGTCGATTCATCTTGTAGTGGTGCGTCAAATGCAACGTAGATTCCCATCCAATTAGATTGAATTTGGTATTGATGACGTGAAAAATAATAACGGTAACTCCATTGAAATGATTCAAAACTAAAGTAATGAGCCAATTTTTTAAAATGTAAGGAGTAGAAAGTACAGATATTTGTGTAAAAATGTAAGGAGTAGAAGTAAAAAGTCACCATAAAAATAAGTAGTAAAGTAAAGTAAAGATATCAGAAAAATCTACTTGAGTACAGTAACGAAGTATTTGTACTTCGTTACCGGTACTTCCCATCTCTGGCTCAAAGCTGCAATTCTTTTACAACACATGCAGAATAAGAAAGAGAAAAGAGCTGTCAACATTTCTTTAGCACATATAACTATAGGTCTGAGTTTAGAAATGAGTACCATTTGTGGCCTCTGTAGTAATTACAGTTTAATATTCTTTTATTGTGACATAAAAAAGTGAATAAATACAATGTGGTCTGGAATGTTAATAGGTTTACGGGAGGCTCCCTGATTATAAATTCCTGTTTTGAGACTGAATGTGTCAGTCTTGGTTCTGTTATGTTTTCTTTTGAGTATTCAGTTTTACTTTGCTCCACGTTTTCTAGTTTCATTGGTCTAATTCCTGTTTTGTTGTGCTTTCTGGTTATATTTAAGTTCTTAGGTTTTTATTTATTGCCCTCTGTTGCCTTTTTGTGTTGTTCTCCTTTTTCCTAGCACCTTTCTAGACTCCTCTCTTCACACCTGCTCCCAATCAGCTTGTTAGTCCTCTCTTTGTTCAGTCTCCCATATAAACTCTCCTTGTGTAGTTCCTCAGTGCTGGTTCCTTGTCATACTTCGTCTTACCTCACCGTGATTGTTTTTCCCTGATGTCTCCATGGTTCTGATTTGTTTTACTACTTTCATGTTGGATTTTTGGATTCCTTCCTCAGTTGTTTGTGAACATTTCATTAAGTCTACAAAAACTCACCTCTGTCTCAGCATCTGGATCCTCATATCTCAAGAAAATCCTGACAGAATGTGATCACTAATATGTCATAACGCACAAATAACGGCTCACATCGGAACTTTTTCCTTCTGGCAACTTTTTCCTTCTTCTTCCTTTTGAATATTGTGTCACTACTGTGTGTATAATATGCTGCAACTGGTTTAAGTTGACCTCCAAGTAAGGCATAAGCTGATATAAATTGAGCTATACACTCACGGAGCAGGGCTGCTCTGCTCCTCCACAGCCTCCATGGCACATTGAAGGGACCTCTGTAGAGACAAAAGCTGAGTGGATGTCTCTCTTAGCATGAACCTGGTGACGAACTGACCCAACACACTGGCACCCTGGTACTCCTGAGAGAGAGAGAGAGAAAAATGACAACATTTTTCATTCCATGCTACATAAACACATAGATGAACAGAACCAATAAAACTGTCAAATGTATCCAAGGTTAATAAATTTATTTGATCATTCTAAACTTCAAATTTAGATACCAGGGACAAACAACTTCAATAGGATATATACAGTAATTGAGGCTGGAGTCTCGCACCATGAATGTGATTACATGTTCTCAGAGGAGTCATAGAACGACACTTCAAAACTCTTTGTAAAAAAGGTGAGACTGGCATGTAACCTCTGCAGAATAACCATCATGGGATTATGAGTCCAGAGTACTGACAGGCCTCAGCTGCTAAGTAGGCCTGAACAATCCTTTGAGGATTCCCTCACTTTAAAAAGAGCAAGAAAAAAATGAAAAGTATTCTAGCAACAAAAGGAGGAATAAATATTCAGAGCAAATCCCCTCATTTCTTCTCATGTAATTTGAGCCCTCAACTGAAGGTTATTTCCTCAAAGAGGCTTTAGGTAATTTTATAAAATACCCTTGGTTAGTAGGTTTTCACTCTATAATAAAATGGAAAATTACTTGAATCCTTCTTTTCCCATTTTTTTGGATGCTTCATGAAGTACTCTGCTTTAACGAGGCATCGAACAGATACCTGCATGTGTCTTATCTGAAAGAAACTCCTTAATCTTGAAAGTGGATAATTTTATAGCAATTAGTTCTGAACTGAAAGCTAACTTTCTGAAGTATTTGTTTGAATGAGCGAGCGTGGGTACGTATGTGTTGGTTTCCAATTGCATCACATTTATTTCAAAATGCCCATGAGAAAAATAAACATACTTGCACATATGTTAAACAACTTCTGTGCATGGTTTATCTACCACCGCACAACAAAATCACACATGCACGAGAAACTTCCACTTCAAGAGGAGAAAATCACTCTCCACACGCGCCAGCTCCTCCCAGGAACGCTCACCATTTTCTATCCAGCGGTCACGCTCAAGGATGGCTGCGCTCTCGAAAGCGTCTCTTCCCTCAGACTGATTTTCTCCCCTTGTGAAGGAAAAGGTGTTTTGAAAGGTTGGGTGAAGACAAACCTCTTCTGTAAGCCTCCTCCTGATTGGGCTTTGCAGACACGATCGCACGGGAAGTAGTGCCAGGAAGTCTTTGACTGATGCTTACCACTTATCCCAAATACTGCAAACCTTGCAGAAGCCTCCGCCACTGTCCCACCTCCAGTCGACATCTTCGCTTATGGATGACAAGCTGTCAGTGTTATTTCAAGCAATATTTAAAGATCCCGAGTGATCTCTTTTCAGGAAAAAAAACGGAGAGGGAAAGCGTCAAGGTTTAGGTACACAGCTTTCCTTTACCAAATGGTGTTTGTGTTAAGAGGGAATATTAGCCAATAATGGTACTGATATTTTTAAGCCTTGGTTGTATTCAATTTTCTATACAGGGAACAATTTTCTGATTGTTTCACCACCCTTGTGAGTTAGTGTCACTAGTGTTACCCTCTCAAGTAAATTTGTCCTGCTCATCTACATCCCCCATGACCATAACCTTTACCTCCACTTGTGATCCATCCATCCATCCATTTTCTAACACACTTACTCCCAGGTGTTCTCACGAGGGGTGATGGTGCCTATCTCCAGGAGTCAATGGGCGAGAGGCAGGGAGAATTTAGAGAAGCCAATTAACCTACAGTACAGTCATGTTTTTGGACTGTGGGAGGAAGCTGGAGTACCCGGAGGAAACCCACGCATGCTTGGGGAGAACATGCAAACTCCATAGAGAAAGACCCCAGGCCGGGAATCGAACACAGAGCCTTCTTGCTGCAAGGCAGCAGTGCTACTCACTGTGTCACTGAGCAGCCCTCTTGGAATCCGTTCAGCTAAAAACCTTGGAGTTTGCCATCCATGTTGCCTCGATTTTCACCCTTTTTTTTCAGGAACCTGGCTTTCCTGTAAGCTTCCCTCTTTGTCAGAGANGAACAGAACCAATAAAACTGTCAAATGTATCCAAGGTTAATAAATTTATTTGATCATTCTAAACTTCAAATTTAGATACCAGGGACAAACAACTTCAATAGGATATATACAGTAATTGAGGCTGGAGTCTCGCACCATGAATGTGATTACATGTTCTCAGAGGAGTCATAGAACGACACTTCAAAACTCTTTGTAAAAAAGGTGAGACTGGCATGTAACCTCTGCAGAATAACCATCATGGGATTATGAGTCCAGAGTACTGACAGGCCTCAGCTGCTAAGTAGGCCTGAACAATCCTTTGAGGATTCCCTCACTTTAAAAAGAGCAAGAAAAAAAATGAAAAGTATTCTAGCAACAAAAGGAGGAATAAATATTCAGAGCAAATCCCCTCATTTCTTCTCATGTAATTTGAGCCCTCAACTGAAGGTTATTTCCTCAAAGAGGCTTTAGGTAATTTTATAAAATACCCTTGGTTAGTAGGTTTTCACTCTATAATAAAATGGAAAATTACTTGAATCCTTCTTTTCCCATTTTTTTGGATGCTTCATGAAGTACTCTGCTTTAACGAGGCACCGAGCAGAGACCTGCATGTGTCTTATCTGAAAGAAACTCCTTAATCTTGAAAGTGGATAATTTTATACCAATTAGTTCTGAACTGAAAGCTAACTTTCTGAAGTATTTGTTTGAATGAGCGAGCGTGGGTACGTATGTGTTGGTTTCCAATTGCATCACATTTATTTCAAAATGCCCATGAGAAAAATAAACATACTTGCACATATGTTAAACAACTTCTGTGCATGGTTTATCTACCACCGCACAACAAAATCACACATGCACGAGAAACTTCCACTTCAAGAGGAGAAAATCACTCTCCACACGCGCCAGCTCCTCCCAGGAACGCTCACCATTTTCTATCCAGCGGTCACGCTCAAGGATGGCTGCGCTCTCGAAAGCGTCTCTTCCCTCAGACTGATTTTCTCCCCTTGTGAAGGAAAAGGTGTTTTGAAAGGTTGGGTGAAGACAAACCTCTTCTGTAAGCCTCCTCCTGATTGGGCTTTGCAGACACGATCACACGGGAAGTAGTGCCAGGAAGTCTTTGACTGATGCTTACCACTTATCCCAAATACTGCAAACCTTGCAGAAGCCTCCGCCACTGTCCCACCTCCAGTCGACATCTTCGCTTATGGATGACAAGCTGTCAGTGTTATTTCAAGCAATATTTAAAGATCCCGAGTGATCTCTTTTCAGGAAAAAAAACGGAGAGGGAAAGCGTCAAGGTTTAGGTACACAGCTTTCCTTTACCAAATGGTGTTTGTGTTAAGAGGGAATATTAGCCAATAATGGTACTGATATTTTTAAGCCTTGGTTGTATTCAATTTTCTATACAGGGAACAATTTTCTGATTGTTTCACCACCCTTGTGAGTTAGTGTCACTAGTGTTACCCTCTCAAGTAAATTTGTCCTGCTCATCTACATCCCCCATGACCATAACCTTTACCTCCACTTGTGATCCATCCATCCATCCATTTTCTAACACACTTACTCCCAGGTGTTCTCACGAGGGGTGATGGTGCCTATCTCCAGGAGTCAATGGGCGAGAGGCAGGGAGAATTTAGAGAAGCCAATTAACCTACAGTACAGTCATGTTTTTGGACTGTGGGAGGAAGCTGGAGTACCCGGAGGAAACCCACGCATGCTTGGGGAGAACATGCAAACTCCATAGAGAAAGACCCCAGGCCGGGAATCGAACACAGAGCCTTCTTGCTGCAAGGCAGCAGTGCTACTCACTGTGTCACTGAGCAGCCCTCTTGGAATCCGTTCAGCTAAAAACCTTGGAGTTTGCCATCCATGTTGCCTCGATTTTCACCCTTTTTTTTCAGGAACCTGGCTTTCCTGTAAGCTTCCCTCTTTGTCAGAGAGGTCTTAGTTAGAAGCCAGTTGTTTGACTAACAATCCAGCTCTCTCGGTTCTCCTCTTTTGTCAGTGGCTGCCAGAATACTTAATTGCTGCCAGAATACTTAATCACTGCGGTAGAGGGTCTTTTTTGGCCCCATGCTGTAATGCCTTTCCTCAGTTAATTTCAATTTTCATTTTTACTTATTTTAAAAGTCTTGGAAAAACCAAGGAAACATTGCTAAATAAAAATGCCGCAAACTGACTGAACTTTGGCGCAGAATTCACATTCACATGTGCACTCAGGTGAAAGATGACTAAGATTTTTATGAAATTTGCCAAAGCTATTTTTTAAATTTCATATAGAGGGGGCCTTAAGCTGTTGGTATCTCACATTGTAGAGTATCCTGGTTGTTCCACATTTGTTTTCTTTTTGAAGTTCATCAAGATCTCTATTTTACAGTTTATTGAAATTTATTATTGCTTGTGTATGTTCGAGACTGCAAGTCTTCCCATTCCCAGGGTGGCAAAGCAGTCTCATTATCTTATTTTTTGCAAATGTAAATGGGTATTCTTATTATTTTTATCCAGAAAATGTTTGGCATAGGAACTTTCCTATGGATCACATTTTTTGTCAATCTCTCTTTTACTGTTTAATCATGAATGTTGAGCCTACAGCATTTTGATTGTCATCTGGGGTCTTTTGCAATCTTGTGGACGAGTCATAGATTTGGTTTTGGAGACATTCTGCAGTTTTGATTACTCTTAGCAAGGTTCTGCATCATGCTTTCTCTATCTGCACACAATAGTTCCTACTGAATTTGGCTGATGGATACATTTTGATAAATGGCAATAGAACCCATAAGGTGTAAGTGACTTGGTTTCATAACTGTTGTTACATTTCTTTGGACAAGGGAATAATGTACTAGTTCTTGAGACTTTTTACCCTACTTCATGTTGTCAAACACCTTTTAGTAAATTATTTTTGTGTTTAAATATGGTATATCTCTGATCTTAAAATCTCTTTAATATTAATAATTTTTAAAAAAAAATGTGTGATTCAAAGCGAAAACAGAGGTAAACATTATAACAGAACTGAACTTCTAGAATCAATCTGGGTGAAGTATTTGTCACCGGATTTTGCTTGACACAAACAAATAGATAATGCTAACCATTCATTGTGCTAAAATCTTACCTCTTTAGTTTTGTCCATTGCTTTTAAAATGCTGATGTTCAGGCTCTCCAGAGCTGAAAGAACATTCAGGTATTCTCCAAGGTGTTCAGAAAAGTAATCTAATAAAATAAAGAAAAATAAATACTTAAGCACACATTCCAATAAAAATATGATGAAAAGTAATACTTTTACATCTTGCCAAGACAAAATTCTACAGAAATCAGGGAGTCTGCAGATTAGAACAGGCCACAAGTGTTTAAGGGTTTTAATTAGAGAATTTACTGACAGCAGCCATAAGGGATGAAGCACACATACACAATGCATAAATAAAGTTTCTACACATTTTTAAGTACAATGTTAATTGACTAAACAAACACAAAAAATTGTTTAAGCACTTTAAATGCATAGCCAGGAATACCATTTATGAAAACAGTAGGTATTGCATCTTAAGCAAGATTCTAATTGTATATCTTCATACAGTATGGCACAGTAAGCACTGATCCGAATTTAACAAGATCTAACTTGTCAAACTTTTTGGTTCATTCCTGCTAAGACTGTCCTCCAAAAAGGTTTACTAAATAATCCATACTAGACAAAAAAATAAATGTTCCCAGAAGTTGATAAGAGTTAAAAGTTGCCGCGACGGAAAACAGCGGACTTCTTTTGACATTAAATGGAAAGTAAGCCATTCCCATGTAATCAATTATGCAGAAGTCTTACTCTGGGCACAACTGATGTTTACCCATCTGCGTGCCCCATTTCTTAGCTTTATTCAGGGCATCTGATACACAGTGAATTTTAAGATGATAAAGGAGGACAGCTGTTTTTAGATTTAGGCTAGCTAAGTGCTTTGATGTAAAGTAAAAACAAACAAAAACAAAACACTAAATGGTAAGTAACTCCATATAAGATATAGTTTAACACAATAAAAAAGGTTATCTGTGAAATAACATATTAGACCAAGAAAACATGATGAGCATGGCCAAAAACTTAAAATATTGAAATAAATGTAAAAGTGCTTTGAAAGCAAATTATCTATGCTGATTTTCAAATCTTAAGTTCTTGCCTCATATTATTATACAACATCATTATGGATCAGCTGATATTTGCCTATGATAGCATATCCAAACATATGATGCAATCTTTTACCAACCTGAAAGCTTGTCAGTGTCCAGATTGCTGCTGGGCAGAACACAGGAGGAGATAAGGGAGGGCAGTTAATTAGGCACATGCAAAGGTGTGCTGCACTTTATTTCTACTTGAGATACTGTTTGACTCTTATACTGAGAATATTGCAGAGTTATCCCAAAGAACTACACATATTAATCTAATCAAAACCATAAAAAAGGTCATTATTTGAGTTAGAAAACCCAACAAAAATAGTCTTGACTGAAAATAAAGATTACCCTTTATTTAGCATTAAAAAGTATCCATTTCTCTTTTTTGTAAAATATATGTATTTCAGGATTAAATGTGCCTTCAACTTTAAAATGTATATTTGATTTAATACATTGCAGGAAATTATCCTTTCTGTTTGTTTACCATTCACAAAAAGAGGTCATCACACTAGATGCTGTAAAAAGCTTTTGTTATGATAATTTATTATAATAACACTTTTACTGAAAAGCCCGAAACAGCAACCTTTTGCTTTAATGGCGTATTAGGGGTCATTTTCATTGTTCCATTGGTGAAAAATCAAGCCAGTTAATGGCTGATGTTATAAGTGTATTCCAATAGGTCACATTACAGTGAATAAGCCATACTGATGTGTTGAAGAACATGACTAATCTATAATTCAACATTGGAGCTATTCTCATGCCAGCTGCTTTGCAATGAAAGTGTAAGAGAAAATTGATGGTGAGCTACTATTGCTATATAATAACCATTGTCTTTTAAAAATGAAAAACTGCTTGCTAAGTAAGCCTCACCATATTTGATTAAATGTGTCTTCGTAGTGTTTTATGGGCTGTTATATTTTTACTAAAACACACAATTTAAGAGTAAGATTATAAAACATGTGTTGTAATTAAATCTGCAGTCAATCAATTAGAAATATTTCCCATAAATGCAAATTCATAATCTGTAACAACAACAAAGCAGTCAGTCTAATTAAAAACTTCTTGAAAATAAATAGGCCTTTTTCCAATAAACCCAAGACTGGGAGACCTCAGCACCAATGTTCAAATGTTTACTCCAGATCATTTCTTCAGAAACGCTCAGACAGATTTTTATTTTTTATTTTTTCCACTGAGTAAGCTTTTGAATTTGGCAGTTTGCTCGATAGTTTTTAATTCGTCTGTCTGTTTATTTTTAGGGGGGATTCATGATATTACTATGTGGACTGTCATTAGTTTATGCAGCTTTCTTTTCTTTGTTGTTATTTTGTTGAAGACCTTCCTGAAATTGGAAGTCATTTAACTTGCGACTGATGACTAGAAAAGGAAACAAAAATGTTAATTATTTCCCCTTTTGATTAGAGCCCTATTCATCAAAATAAACACACAACAACTTACTTATTCTGACGGCCATCTATTGAATAAAAAAGTTCCTGTAGCTCTTCGGTTGTCAGGATCCCATCAGCAAAGTAAGCATTGAACTCGTCAAATGACAACTTGCCATCATCTGAAAAAAAGTGAAGAAACAGACTTAAGACAGCTAAAATGACCCACTGTTGTAACCAATGTTGCAAACGTAATATATTTCTAAATATCTGGGCAAGGCAAAAAAAAAATATATATATATTAAATACTAGTAATGATAGTTAAGTGAGTAATGACAGGTATATATTGTGGATAGTAAATAAGTCCTTGTTTTTTATCATTAATTTCTGACCCTGCTTGGTATATCTTGCGCAAAGTTATGGTAAACGATGCTCCTAAAAATTAATAGCAGAAGATTAACGACTGGACTGTAATTATTAAAGAAGAGCTACTTCATGAGCAAAATATCAATCACTATGCTACTACAAATAACACATGGTGGCCTAGAGAAAGCTTTTACTAGTGCAAAACTACTAGTTTTTCAATACTTATGAAAAGGGAGAATTGAACAGATTGCATCTGCAGCAGGCAATTCTTAGCAATGACACTCAGGCAACCAGATTTATGCCAGCAGGAGTTGGAAGCTCTGTTACTCATTGTGACTGAAGAACATTTTAAGATCAGAGATGAAAAGGACCAAAAATAAACTCGACAATGTTGAACGGAAACTGATTTTGACCCAAAGCATTTCCTGCAAAGAGAAAAAGAAAAAGAAAATCGGATTATATTGTAAGTACTATTTTTTGTAAAAGGAAGGTTTGCTCTCTTTATCATCCTGAAGCAACTTTTAGATTAAAAAGATTTATTGTCATCTTCTTTGCATAGAACCAAATTACTAAAAGGTGCCTTGCAAAAATATTCAAGACGATTAAAAACTGTTATATAAATATAAAACTTTATTAACCTGAAGGTACTTTTTGCTCAGTGATTGAAACACATAACACTGACCATCACAAATAGACACAATAAAGACAATCATTTTGAGAAAAACATGGCCAAATGAAGACAATGTACAAAAAGCATCAAAGGAAAGATCAAACTTAAACACATAAAGCTATAATGTATATCTTGGGTTTTTACAGCTTCAGGTTTATCTTCAATTAAAACTTAAAAGCCACCTGTTGTAGTTTTTGTTGTTTCTTTTAACTATGACATGTTACTTTTTTATCTCTTATTGTTTTTACCCCTACAGCGTCCTTGAGTGTTTTTAAAGTTGCTAAAAAAAAAATATATTAATATTATTATTATTACTTTTTGTTTAAAACCAAAATGCTTAAATTGTAGCACATGAAGACTCTCACTTCTCAATTCTACCTTCAGCTTTTGATTTAAAATGGACACAATGCTGAAGGGCATCTCTCTAAATGGTCCCCGGCCAGGCAACGATGAGGTCGAATGACAGTGAGTTACTGTTAGCTGACTTAGCGAAGCTAAAAAGTGCAACATAAGGACCATCTGTTAATTTAGGGCTGTTTTCATTTTGTCATTACCGCTGACCAAAATGTTTCGCAACAAGTTAAAAGTCAGACCTTTCTAAGGTTAAGTTTCTAAGGTTCTTGCACACATTTATGAGAAAAAGATGACCCTTATTTTTTTTTTTTCTTTCATAAGTGTCTTTGGATAACCTTTAGAAGAATACATTGAAGAAAACTATTATATCCATGTCCTAATATAAATCAAAACTAGAATAAAAGTGTTGTTGCACACTATCTTTAGCACTCTTTGTAAGCACAGAGAAAGCCAGATACAAGTAGTGGGAAAATAAAATCATCATGCTATTTCAATGGCTCTCATTAGATAAAAGTATTGGACAAAAATGCATTGCATTTTACAAACTATTCAGGAATATATGTTACATTTACACAATACTTCCTATATAACATGTTTAGGATTGCTATTTTACCATAATTTATAGAAAGTTTGTGCTGTTTACTTAGATCTTTGCACCATCTGTACTGTGGCTTACATACTGTGAAACAAAGATCCCACCACATGTCTCTCCTGGTGTCATATCTGGAAAGATTCCTATATTTGGAGTGCAGAATTAAACAGACAGCATCCATTTGATGGACAAACGATATACACAGGCAGCTTTGACAGTTCTGGGGTATGTCTGCATACATCAAAGAAGGATGATTTCAGTAAGAAAAATGTGCAAGTAATGATCTTTATATATATTAAATATATTTGACCTTCTCTGAGTTAAAGTTTACTAGTCTTAAGTCTATAAAACATAAATTTTTTTATTTGTTATACACATTATAAGCAGCATTAAAACCACTTATTATAAGTCACTCCAACTCAGGTGGGTAACTATCTTTGGAGTTTTTTATTTGAATATGTCTTTTCCTTTATATGAATTTGAACCGGGTTGGTATTACAAATCTTATTTTCGACATTAGGTTTCACTAGTGTCAAACTGACGTTATCACTAAATACAAAAATTATTCAAAATAATGATGAATGATGGGCATCAATAATGGACGGAGTTCAACATTTATTTTGTTTGTATTTGTAACATTTGCAATAATTTAATCTTGATGGTCTTACAGGAAAAAGCAGAGATGAAGCTACCATCATATTAAATCCGGTTAGGAGAGTTCCAGGTAGGGAACATATTTCAAATGCCAGCTGATGCTTTGGAAGTAATAAATAATTCATCTGTGACCCAATGACACACATGCTAACCAATCTAAAAACCATCAGGCCTTGACATGATCACAGTGGCTTCATCACTCTCTACTAAAGGTAATCTTTGTATATGCATCCACTGTATTAGCCCTTCTATAGAATAGTCTTAATTTGTTGGTATGGGAGTGTTTATAAAAACTATCACCAACACTGTGACATGAAGATTGCAGATAATCATGAACATAATGAATACCATCTAGAATGTGTCCTTAATAATCCAATAATCCAAACCAGTCTGCAGCACACTGTTGGTTTTTAAATGGAACGCCTGTAACTCTTCTTCAAATTTAAAGTTAACTTAGTTGTAAGCTATGTAGAACCATATGAGAAAGTGGAGATGTCCTGCAAAGTAGAGCATAAAGTAGGCCACACTGATATCCCTTCAAAGCTCTGTCCCAATGCAGGCTCTCTTAAGTGGTCTATAAATTCCCTACAAACGCTTCAGTAGTAACCGGCATTACATAGAGAGATAGCTCTGGTTTCTTTATTGGAACCTTCTATGGATCTCTGCATACTCAAGCTATTACTGGTATTCTTAGCATCCCTGTCCTCCTTAGGATATATTTCACAAACCCATCTAAGAAATTCTGAAGTTACTTTCAACTTTCCATATCCTCAGACACAGACGTGTGCTCCTTTTAGTCTCAGTTTTCTAGAATCCTTTATACTTGTGGTTCAGAGCTATAATTGTCTTTTTTTTTTAAGCTACCAGGTAAGCAAAAAATCTGAGATTATCTTTAATTGTTTACTGAGTTCTAATACCTCCATAAAAAGGCCTAAATCCAGTATTTAGTTGGAAAACTTTTTTCAATAAGTTTTTTTTTTTTTTTTTTTTACATTTTATTGATCTGTGGCCATTTAATGATTGATGGTTGAAATGAACAAATCATTTAAATAACAATTTGCTCATGATCACAATAATTTACAATAAAATGATATATGGGACATGATAAATGTGTAGAGAAGGTGTTCTAGTCAGTTAAAATTAAAATTGAGCTTGTTGATCAGGTTTACATGACACACTGGAAAAAAAATGCAGCAAACAATTCTTTGTACACTACTCCTTCCATGTTGTAGCGAGATCATGACGTGTCTTTATCTTTCTTTAGCATGAACAAGAAACAGGGTAAGGTTTGTGGGAGGATGTGTGGTGCTACATACAATTCTTTCCTGGAAATAAAAAAACTGCTAGACTACAGGCGGGTTCTCATTCCAACAGGAAAGTGAGAATAAAGATAAAGCCAGAGCTGCCATGGAACCATTAAGCTTAAAAATAAAAAACATTTTATTAATTAATTCCTTTTAAGTTGTTATATTCATTTAGAAATATGTAGCAAATGTTCAGACCAACTTACAATTGGGACTGCAGTTTTATACAAACTGCAAGCTTGTACAAAATAGTCACCTAAAGGGGTTCCTGAATACTTGTGCATTCTACACTTTTTGGACTTTAATTCAAGACTTCTTCACAAATTAATCACATTTGTGGTCAACTCTCATCAATAAATTCAAAATAGATGCAGATTTGTGGTTGTAACGTAAAACTTTGAAGAATGTTTAGAGGATACTAAAACTTTTTTTTTCTGGCACTATGGACATGCCAGACAATAATAAATGGTAAGACATCTTATAAAGACATTATAGATACCACAGGAATTTATTTGTTATTTCTCAACGTTTTCAGGAATCACCATTGCAGTGTACGTTATACACTACTGTAGATGTGTAGTTTACTGAGCACAAAGTCAGAAATATATAACAATTCACCTGGTATTGATTTTTTATTCATAAATAAACATGCATGTGTTGTGCATTTTTTGTAAAATCACCTTTCGATTTAAACGAAATCATCAATTTCGTTTAATCTATATGAAGCACTATCCTGAAAACCTAACAGCCTTTTTTCTTATTTACATTTTTCCAGTTGCCCTGGAATCCTCTCATTCCTATTTATCATGATTCTGCCCTTTGTGGACTTCTGTTTAAGTTTATTTTTAAGTTTTCAGTTACACTGTGATTTATTTTATTCTGTGTTTTCTTGATCATTGGTTTCTTTTCCATTTTGTGTTATATTTAAGCAGTGTTGTATTTTTATGTTACTCTCTGATGCCCCTTTGTGCCAGTCTCCTTTCCCTTAGCTCCTTCTAGTTACTTCTGTCTTCACCTGCTCCCTATCAGCTAATTAGTCCTCCTATTGTTTCTGTTTCCCATATAAACACCTCCTGTTCAGTTACGCTTTGCTGGATCCTTGTCATTCTTTTGGTTTATTCCTCCCTCATGTCTCCTAGCTTTTTTGGTTCTTGAGTTGTCCTTGTCGATCAGTTCTGGACTACTTTATTTTTTTTATTAAATCTGCAAGAAACCACCTCAGCTTCCGTCTCTGCATTTGGATCCTCTAAAAACCTCAACATAACCTGATACTATTTTTGTTTTTCCATATGTCTTTTACCTTTGAGTGTATCTGCATGCTGCCATTGGCCATCACCATGCTTCTAACACAACTGAAGTTACTTGTAAATTTTCACCTTCACCTCGGCATCTACCAAGTCTTCAATATGCTCATGTCTATGTCCAAATAGATGGAGCTATTTCAAAATTGGAAGAGTATACCACTATGATGTTGCTTATAATGACACCCTGGGACAAATTTTCACATATTTTTAAATAAAACATAGAGTGTAAATATTTTCATCTACTTATTTATTAAGCAACAAATAATCAGAATGTTAAATCAAAGCAGCAGTATGAGCTAATAACATATGTCGAAAGAATTGCACTTTATTCTACCAACATTTTTCTGCATAATTGCAACACATCAGAATCTTCTTTATGCCGGCCAGCAAAAATAATAGACAGTTTCTCACAGCCTCTGTTTGCTTTTAATTTCTTAATGAGCACATCAACTGTTTCTATCTGACAAGTAGTAATTGTGTCAAAGCTTCATAGTGTTTGTTTTCCTTTGTATTATATTTTTAGTCTACTCCCCACTGTATCTATTACTGCAGAATTTAGACCGCTGAATGTAGGGCGGTACTTTTTTCATGTGTTGCTTTTAGCACTAATGGTCATCTTTTCCTTTGCTTCATGCAGCTGGTTTGGTCATTTCAGCAAGTTCAATATGATGAAAAAAAATTGAAAGAGTGAAAATATTTGGTTGAAAGAATCAAAACATTTCATCGTGCAGAAGGCCATTCTTAAACATTGCTAATACTTCTGAGAAGCACAATAATTACAGACCTTGATGTGTGAACAAAACAATGTTTAGTGATGAGTGTTATGCCTCCGCCTCCTTAATTTGCTCTGGCACCCTATTTCATCAGTTGTTAGAGCTAAATAAATATCTTCCTGGGTGAGCCAATAACATGCAGCAAAGGAAGAGGAAATAAGATGGCTCTTTTAGCTGTGAAAGGTTAGTCTAACCACTCAACAAGACTGTTAAGGTATAAATACAGAAAAAATATCTCCTGAATCAGACGCAGTGTAATGTAATATGTCATACACACCACAGGTCAAAGCAAGATACATGGGTCCCATTTTTAGTTTCTTTAAATTAGAACAAAAGGTTAATTTTTATATGCACTTTAAAAAGATTTGCATCCGTTTCTAAAAGAAGTATTAAATCTGGCAAATATTTTGTTCTGGATTTTCTTACCTGAGCCACAGAAGAAGGCTTTAATTAAGGAAAATTTTATAAAAAAAATTAAAATTATGAAATACATAAAATTGTAAGATTTAAAAGCAAAACTAAGTGTTTATTAGGTCATTTTACTGTGGATTGGTTGAACAAATAAAACTCTTTAAAACTAATTCAAATGCACCAGAGGAAGAAATAAAAAAATAAAAATGCATGTTATTTCCACAAAACTCAGAGAATATAATTACTCATACAAATTTATGATGTAAAGCAGTGAAAATATTTCAGAAACAAAGTGGCTGATACAAAAACAACTCTGCTTTGATGAGATCGTCATAAATCAAAATGTAAGTTTGCCAAAAAGAGGGGTCTATAAGATCTGCAGCTTCTAAGATGTGTAATATTTATTTCGATATCAGCATACGATTTAACATGAAGTACCTCATGTGTTTTGTCCAAAATACTCAGAGAGGTGGCTATGGTAAGTTTTCTGTATTGATTACAGTTTTGGGACACAATAAGAAACTATAGGAGTTCTTTATGCTTTTGTCACATTTGGGGTGGGCAGGAGTGAGCTACAACCATTTAAATTGCTTCAGCATCAATGCATGAATAATTATATAAATCACTAAAGCTCATTGAGAGGTGTCATCTTATTTCTAAAATTTAATTGCATTCAAGAATGTTTTTGTGATAAAATGGGGAGGCTGTGCAGGGCAATGGTAGGATAAAGAATCAAGGAAGACAAATAATGTAGCAATGCATAAATATTAACAACATTACTAATATAAAATATCAATAACATACTTAATATTCATTATTGATTAGAGATAGCAAAACTGGTGAAACTGACCACTGCTGATGAAGACTACAAGTGTGTCTTGCATACAACAAGATATATATATATATATTTTAATTATTTAAAATGTATAAATGAAAAAAAATATATGCATATGTTATACCAAGCGAAATTCTATCCACACATTTTTGGAGTTAATTTGATGCTTCCATCTGCAATCTTAGCATCTTATTCAGATATTGGATAGAGTCATTTATGAAAATAGCTATTTTTGTTGAACTAAAACTTTTTTTTGTTAAACCTAAAATATCTGAAGAAACAATTGAGATCACTGCTAAATATATTGTACTCACCATTTTTGTCTGCTCTGCGGAATATCTGGGGGGAAAAGTGGAGAAAGCAAACACACACACTTCAGTAAAGCTTCAATTTGGAATGTTTTCAAAAGAAATTAGTAAACTAAATATATTCCCAATGTTTAAAATATAAAAACACAGATTTTACATTCACATATCTTGTTTACACAGTCAAAAGAAAGGTACATTTGGCGTGTGGGTGAGTGAGTCATATTTAATAGAAGCTGATGAAGAACATCTCTATTGAAATGTACTCAGCAATCATCCCTTTTGGAGTAAACAGTCATTTTAGGGGCAGAACGAGGTTGGTTACAATGCAGCTGAAAGGCCAGATTGCTGTTATCCTGCAGGTGCCTCAGCCTTGAAAACCACTTAAATTCAACCTTCCAATACAGCCTGTTTAATGTTTCATTGTGTTTAAATTCAATATTTGTACTCAGATCTATTGTATAATTTATGCTTGTCTGTAAGATGCATCCTACTAGCACCTACATCATCAAAACACATCATTTTTACATTGGACTATACAGTTTTACATGTTGGAGTAGCTGTTTTCAGGGGAATTCAGTCATTGGATATGTTTGGTTCATACACTTCTATCTTCAGTTCATGTTTAAGATAAATAGTCTTACTGCTTTAAAATGCAAACTCACATGGTTAAAAAGAGAAGAATCAAAGAATTACATTTCTGGAACCATGACACACTCTGCACACTCTCTCCTCTAGTGTTACATATAGACCCAACAGCAACATCATTACTTTACAAATTATTTGGAAGCTTTTTCTAGTGTGGCACAGAAGATGTGTCTCCTTCGAAAAAATGTCCAAAAGAGCTGTCGATGCTGCTTTGTCTGTAAAGCTAGCTTTAGTGGAACAATTCTACAGTTTTTCTGAATGTTTAAATAATGGTGTTTTGGGGATAGGTGACAGAATAAAAACATACCATGATCTTTTTTTATTGTAAAATTATAATTTTAAATGTAATAATAATAATAATACAACAATAGGCAAGAGAACATATTTTATTCTGTTTGTGCTATCTGGCAAGTCAAAGAGGTAAATAACACTTATGTAAAATACACTCTTCCTATACAGAAGTACGTCTGTTTTTTTTTTATTAAGTTGCATAATTTCACTATTTTTCACAACATAAAACAGTAGGGTCGGTCCCTTTAATTGATATGATCTTTAAGTTTTGGCAGATCATCAACAAGTTTTAATCCTTTTCAGTCATCATTATATTGTTAAACCAGCTGATGTTTTTTTTCTTAAGGTATTAATAACACAGTCTTCCATAGTGTATGGACAAAAGGAAGTAATTGTATTCCAACTGTCTTTGTTTCTCTTCCCTCTGCTCCCATTGGGGGACTCAGTGGTGCATTGCTTATAATTAGCAAGAGCACGTGAGAGTCTTCAGCTGACTGCTTTTTTTGTAAAGGAAAGAAAGATTTTCAAAGAGCAGAATGGATGTTACTTAAATAAATCTGCCATCTTAAAACATGTGGCATTCCTTTAAAAAAAAAAAACTTTTTTTAATGGCTCTGTGCTTTTACTTTCCATTTTAATTTATGGATGAATTTATACTCAGAATACGGCATGAGTGCAGAACAGAGTGGTATTAGCATTCACTTCATTTCAAGTTCTTTTGTTTTTTTTTTTGCTTAGAAGATTTTATCTGTGTTAGCAATCTTTTGCTGGTCACAGGTTGGCAGATTAGTGCTGTAAACATAGTAAGGCAGTGCCACTGTATGCATTTCTATGGACCGTTGTTCTTGTAATAGCATAAAAGCTTAATTCATTGACCAAACCCTGTCCAATTTGGAAACAATCAAGATGCAATGTCCCAGCTCCAAGTATTTATGCAGGGTTATATAAGGCATTTTTTTGACACCCAGAGGGAAAAAAGCATGCTTATAAAAATGTGTTTTTGACTTTTCTATTTGCTTTGCCTTTTTTCTTGTCTTTTGGCTTGTGCTTTCACTTTGGGTTACAGTCTGTGTTAGGGATTATGAGAGAAATGGCAGCATACCAAGGGTAGTTAAGTGTGAGGTAACATGCCTTATATTCAAAAAAAACATTCATCTTGTTTTTTCAAGTTAATGAAATAAAAATACATAAATAAATAATTGAAAAAAAATATCATTATCATTAAGATATCAAATTCATAGCAATATATCATATATATTTTGTTTTTTCTTCCATATCACAATCATCTTTCTTGTTCTGATTTGATTGCAGAATACTAGTACTGTAATCGTTCTTGTCTTTTAGACACTGCCTATGCACAGCAAATGGAAAGTGAAAAAGGCAACATTTTTCTTTAAAAAACAAGTTATGCTATTTTATCGACTAATTTCTAATGAACAAGGTTCAGTTGTTTGGATAAGAGGAAATATGGCAGTGGCAGAGATGGACACGATTCCTAAAAAACAAATAAACATAATAATCAACAAAAACTGTTCAGTTTATAGATACAAATGTTTAATTTCTTGTTAATTTAATGCACTGAGGCCTGGAAACATGGTGGAAATTAGTTTCAAACTAAGAAGCAGAACAGAGGCGAGTTGAGGGGTCTTAAGCATGGTTGTTAATCAAAATATTACATATTCTACTGGTCTACCTGGATTTTTAAATACCACCCTAACTCAGGTTTGTAGAGAATTATAAAAAAAATGGTAAATAGTACACTCTGAGAAAAAAAAAAAAGCTGCACTTAAGGAAGTGGTGGGTGAGTATAAATTGCAAATATATTATCAAATGCATAATCCCATGAAATTTTTATATAAATCAGAGCACTGCTTTACAAATTGTCACTGAAAAAATATCCTTTTCTTCGAACTCTGTTAGCAGCTCCTGTAAAAGTGAAGCTTTTTAAAGACTGAAGATGATAAACTTGCTTGACACATATCAACATAAATCAGTCAAACAGCTTCAGAGAGTACATGAGTCACCAACTCTGGGAGAGGCATTTATTGGCTAACAAGAGGAAGGCCAACAATATGGCTCGCTCTTGTTCATATAAAAGGTGTTAGTCAGCTGCTGGAAGGAAAGCCTTGGGAACAACGGCAGCCGCTGCCTACGTTAAATTTAGTCAGACTCAGTCATCTGTTCCTTTAGTTGTCCCCCATTTTCTTATTGTTCCTTCATCCAAAGGCTCACTGCATTTTTTTTCTCTCAGATGCTCTGCATTTTGTCAGCTCATGTGCATCCAATTCCCCAATCAGTCAGTCTACATCCAGGTCCCATGTGAGTCTAGCAGCACACGCACGCATGCATCCTTATATTACCTGAGCGTCAATGTTCTAGTGGACATTTTATTATGTTTAGCTGGGAGGTGAGAAAAAGAAAATGGTAGTAAAAGCTGCTCGATGTAACTAAACAGCATGAACTAAAACCACTTTGTGCAACAAAGTGAAGAAATTATTAAAAACATGTCAATTGGAATGTTGGTGCAAAACAGATCAAATCATTATAGTTAAAGCTATAAAAGAAAAATGATGAGAAATAATTGTTATTATATTTAGGAGTATTGCAAAAAAAAAATTCTTATCCTAAATCTTCTTATCAGTAAAAATGACAAGAATAAGGTCACAATAAGAATTAAAGTAAGCATAGATTCTGACTGTACTGGACACTCTATATTTGATATTTTGCTGACCACTGATTAGGCTCCCCTTTCTCTGAGTTATTTATTTCCATTGGTTGGCAGAGGTCATACCTGCCAAGTTTGTCAGAGATGACCTGTAGGTTATTAGTAACTGTCAAAACTTTCATTCTCTATAGGTCAGTAAGCTCAAAGTCGGCACATCTGCCCTTCCTTTGTCAATGCCTGACTTCTATCAATAGCATAACCTCTTTCCAGCCTCCTCTCAACACACTCCTCTTGTTTGGACCCATATGTCTACAGAAAGGTGCCTGCGCTTTGAACAGGACTGTTGCATGACATTACGTTTCCTTTTAAGCGATTACATAAAAATTATATTTGCTTTAGGCATCTAGCGCTGTGAAGTGAATTCCTTTCTCTTTAGGTCACTTTTTCCTCATCAAAGCATTTCTAAGTCTTCCTTGATTAAATGAAGAGCAATTTGGTTCCAGCTTGTTTGTTGTGGCCTGTGTGTTTGGGTTTTCTAGTGTCAGGAGACGATAATGCATCATTTACAGCGAGCACATGAAAAGGTCAGAACCTGCTTCCCAGCATGCCGCTGGTCTGATGCCATAGTGGCAGGAGTTAAGACAGTCTGCAGATTTTGTGCAGGGCTCATGAAAAGTAAACAGTTCAGAGCAAAGAGATAACGTAACAAGCATTCTGTGATTGGTATGCTCTTAAATTACCTTCAAGCATCACCGCCTGTTATAGATTAACAGTGTTTTTTTTCAGCACAGCAGGGTGGATAAAAATCAGAAGGAGTGAGGGAAAGAGATAAGAAGGACAAATAGGGGAAAAAGAGATGGGAATCTACAGTAAAACCCATAAACAAACCTTTGACGCAGAATATATGAAAGAATGATTAAACAGCATAAGAATACAAGCATCGCTTGTTGTTTCTTGTCTTCAAATATGACCTTTAGGGTTACATATGATCTCTATAATGTTATTAATTTTACATTCATGACATCAATTATTTCTAATTATCTCATCATTATTGCACACCATCAATATGATACAGATACTCTAGTCACACAATAATTTGGGGAATATATTAGTTTAATGTACAGTCAATTAACCTTACAAGCTAATTGCACCCAAAGGAAAAGATTTTTTTCATTTAAATTACTGCTTGCAACACCTGGGTTTCATTTATTTCTGGTAATCACTTTCAGTATGTATGACCCTCATAGTAAGACAGTATTATATCACAATAATTCCTCATCACGGCTTTTCTTAGCTATTGCTATTTAAGGCATAGCTTTCAGCACAGGTAAACGTCTGTGTCACACTGAGGGGTTTGATGGCTAGATCAGAATGAGACAGCAAAATAGGCTTTAAAAGTAGAACAATCCCTCTCAAGTCAAAATAGACTTTCTGTTACAGTAAAATAATTGGGTAGCCTACCGGCATAAATATTTTCACTCTAGACAAATTGTTCCCTGTCACAAAAAAAAAACCCAGTAGAGATGAATGCATTAAAAACTAGATCAATGAGATAGATATGAGTAGAATAATATGATTAAAACAAGGACAGTTTGGGCATCGCTGCTTTAAAAGGAATATAAACATTCCTTGGTACAACAGTCAGGTTGCTACAATAATTGACTACAAAGGAACAGTTTGAATAGCTGAAAAAAATAAATAAAAATTACAATAGACCTGGAATAGCCTTATAAAGTCAATAAATTATCTATAAGGATAAGAGAACAATGGAATCTAAGACCTTGCACTTTCCTAGAGACATAGACGGACAGGGGCGGAGCTAGATGGGGGGCCAGAGGTGGCATTGGCCAACCTTAGCCAATCATTGGCCACCCCTACAATTTTTTTATGCTCTAATAAAGTTGGTAGCAGCAGTAAGTTCAGACTTATTAAACATTTACATTTTTTCATATATCAAAAATTAATATACAAATCAAAATACTAACATTAAGGTTGATATATACACAATTCATGTTCACTTCAGAACTACGGTAATTCTTGTGTTATATGGGGTAAAGAAAAAATTCTCTACAAGTCATTCAGAAGTCTTCAGTGAAATCATAGATAAATAACTACTTTATTAATAACTTAAAAAATCTATTTAATTTAGAAATTAGTGCATGTAAATATAAATTTTATGCAGAACAATTTTTGACAAAAGTAGGTAAGTAATGAAAGTGGGAAAGATGTTCGCCCCAGATATTTTGTTCTATACCTTCTACTACCTTTTATTTAGACAGCATGGATGTTTAAATATATGCGTCTATTTGTTAGCAAAGGCTGTAGGAAAGTATTGATTGTCTTTATTTAGAAAACATGTATGTTGTGCTCGTTCTTGTTGGAACAGTGTAGATTGAGCCTGAGGTTCTGGCGCCCATCCTCTTTCGGCCACTCGTCAGTGTACATTGGTTTTTGACTTGCCACCCCTTTAAAATTTTCTGGCTACGCCACTGTAGATGGAACCAAAGTTTGCATGTTAAATATTAAATGTTAAACGAACAGTGGCAAGATCACCTGGGTGTGGTAGAAGAGGAAGCTAAGGCTGCTACCAGATTTGTGAGAGAGCAGGTGGTCAAAGCCTCTTAACTTACTGCAATAGACCTGCAGTGGTTTCCACAGTACGATAAATGCTCATAGTGCAGGGCTGCATGTCTTGACCTCAAGGCTAACACCACTACTAACATAAAAGTGCAAGAAAAGGCAGGTACCCACCATTTAGAATCAAAAAATTGTTTCAGGAAAAAAAAGTAAGTGAGTGGTGGCCTAGTGGTTAGAACATTGTGCTTGGGTCTTCGAGGTTCTGAGTTCAAGTCCCACAAACTGCTGCTCTTTACCCCACACTGCTCCCGGGGTGCCACACAGTGGCAGCCCACTGCTCCCCAAGGGGATGGGTTAAATGCAGAGAGTAAATTTTGTTGCTCTGTACTAGTGACAGTGTAATGACAATAAAAAGCTGAAAAAAAATTATGATGTGAATCTAGAAAGGAATGTTTTTCCTGACATAATAGTGGTACAACTAACATGGCAGGGGCTTGGTGATATTCTGATGCTGGTTTTCTTTCCGCTGCACCAGAAACCTTAAGATCTGATCTTGAACAAGTGCAAAGCTGTTATTCTATACACAGAGCAGATCTTTAAAGAAGATGCAAAGTGATTTGTGTTCGCAATTGCACAGTCTGTGCAGTTTTTTTTGTTTTGCCCCTTTGTCTTCATCAATATGTAGATCATATAAAGGCAGGTTATGTACAAATTAATGCAGCGAGGAAAGCAATTTTTTATACATATATACCCAAAGAACGAAAATGACTGAACTAAAATAATCTGGCATGTTTATAAAATAAAACAAAAAAAAAAAACAAAAAAAACAAACAGAATCTCAAAAGAGTCTGTTATTCATCACAAAATGTTTTTTTTCTTTCTATGGGTTAAACAAGCATAACTGTACATGAAGCACGGATATGTTTTGTTAAATTTTAAATTGCGTATATCATGTCAAAGTAATGTTGAGAGGTTCTAGTGGAGATACATCCACAGGTTTGAAGCTTTATCTGCTCTTATCTCAACCAGTAGACAAAAACAGCTTTCTCATTTATTATGGTATTTAAAAATGTTTATATTTAACTTTAGATAATTTCCTCCTTTTACTATTGTACTAGTTTAGTTCATAGCACAATAAAACTATTTTTGCTACGCTATAAATATCATTACATATTATTAAACTGGTATTAATAGTATTTTCAACTTTTTTATATTTCTCATTTTAACCACCATCTCCATAGCTTTAAACCATTCTATTACAGCCACTCTGAAACTGCCAGTAAAACAAGAAGTCTGCTCATGTTAATCGGCAGGGCAAATCTATTTGCACAACATTGGCTAATAATCTCTGCAGATCAGCCGCTACCCACCCACTTGATGCAAATACTAAAAAAATGCACATGCAATTTAGCTCCTCTTATTGGGAATATTCAAAGATTAGGTCCTCAGTGTTTAAAGGCCAAGATGGATACAATCAAGTATCAGGAAACCTGTGAAAATTATTGGACTCTCTATTAGGATGATAATCAGAGGCATACCTAAAAAGACTTGTAGTAGTTGCATGGGCATAACTTGAGTCTGTAATGAGATCTAAAATTTCTGACTGCAGCATGCATCTGAGATAATTAACCAACTAGAGTATTGCTGTAGGACATGAAGATTTGATGGGATTTCTCATGAACGCTTCCACAATCTGGTGTCTGGCAGCACATTTGGGGCAAGTCCTAACAGTAGAAGTGTGTTCACTGATGACTAAGGATGCTTGTCTTGAAAGGCTGGTATATTGCTTAAATTTCAGTAGTGATTAAAAATCGCACTTTGTGGTGAAATTTGAGAAACCATTTGTAACCACAGTAACTTTCAGCTAACAGCTATTGAGCTAAATGGCTAATACTTTATATATTCTACTAATCAATCTTATTAATAATTGTTGGTGCAATTCTATATTACCTGGATGTAAAAGTTTTTGTCAGATTTTTTCAGGCTAAACCAAAAAAAAAACATTTAATACCTATGTTGGTCCAACATGGCTGTTTTTTTTTTTGTTTTTTTTTTTTAGTGAGATTGGCTGGTTCAAGCACAATGTTTTTATTAAGTGACACATTCAGTGGACTGGATCTCTTATGTTTTTCTTAATAGAAAAATGCATTGCAGAGGACTAAAAATTTTATGTCTTCCAATTTGTTCACATGGATCAGAATGTATTTTAGTAAGATGACCTCTCAAATTATATCTGGATAATGTCAGAGTAATTGACTAGATTTAAAAATGTCAGCTTTATGGGTTCAAATCTGAAAACATCAGTGGTTTGAAAACCTACAAGGATGGTTTCTATGGCAGCATTGCAGGTTAATTTCACAGCAGGTGGTGTAAGTTAGGGCAGCATTTGAAGCAGGGCTGTCTATGAGCATGCATGTTTACAGTTTTAGCAGAGGGCTGCTATGAAGGACAAAAGCAGGTCAGAACCAATCAAAGGGAAAATTAGAACAAAATAAACATGTTCTACCATCCTTCAGGGAACCAAAAAATATGTTCAGAAAACTTCCTGTTACAAGAGTTTTATAAAATATAGAATTATAAATGAACAATAGATTGGAGTCATTTGGTTAAAGGCTGGTAAGAAAAATAAAACTGTTACAAGAGGGAAGAAACCCCAGCAACCCTTTACTGTCTAGCTGAGAGCTTAATTTATCATGCAGAGGCTCAGCTGCAGTTCTTCCGTCTTTCTTATTTACACTAACATACACACACACGCACGCGCGCGCGTTCACACACACTCCCAATCTAAAACAACCCGCTTCCATTATAATTTTTATGTATATAACAAAAAAGGCAACCGTGTTACACCTTGAATCAGCTCTAGGACTCTTTTATATTATTTTTAACATTTTATATTAACTGTTATCTTTATGCTGGTGTAATAGAATAATTAAATAAGCAGATTGTAAAGGGATTTTTTTTTTTTTCTTTCAGGGGTCGAATAAAAAAAAGCCTTTAACTTACATCATGAAAGATAGTGAGCCCCTGTCCGGAGCTGTGGAGCGGCTGCTGCTGCTGCTGAGCCTGAAGATGCTTCTGTTTGGCCGACTGCAGGCACATAGTGATCATCTCGGCGCAAGCCAACATCTTTTCAAACGCCACTTCTTTATGGTTATCACTTCTGAACTGTGAAACTCTCGCAGGCTGAAGCGAATTGGAGCAAATGCAAGGGAAACAGGCAGGAGAGAGGAGTCAGACAGAGAGGCAGGCGGGGACTAAAGGATGCTCAGCAACTTTGTGTTGCTGCTCAGCTGAGCTCCTCCTGCTGGAGCTGCAGTGATTGGCCCCTTTAGGTGCGCCTTCAATCTGGATTTGATGTGTTAACTTCAGCAGGAAAAGTAAACACCTTATTGCGGCTGTTTTGAAGGAATTCAGTTATTTCAATAAATTATAGATTCTCTTGTGAAATTAGTCATTAACAGAACATTTTTCAAATGAAGTCACACTCTGCAACCAGGAAGTTCTTTTAGGATTTCAACACAAAAGGCACATTTCTGACATAAAAAAAATAAATAATAATTTTTGCTTTTTCCTTAGTAAATCCCAGTGCAACCCTTAACAAGTATAATTAACTAATCACACTATTTTGTATTTAATCTTTATTCATGTCTGCTATCAGTTATTGAAAGATGAGGATTTGAACAAGCATCATCATGAAGAAAAAATAACACACAAGACAGATCAGTAATTAAGTTTAAAAAAGTATTTAAAGCTTTGGAATTACATAGCAGGATATTTATCTACCATCAGCAAAAAGAGTATGACACAATAAAAATCAACTATGTTGTAACGAGGTGAGAAGTTTTATGTTTTAGAAATGCTTTTCTCTTTTTGTGAAGCTTGAAAATGACCATTGAGTCCACAAACCCAAACTTTATAGATGTTGCAAGAAGAAAAGCTATTTTAAAGAAAAGTAATCTGAAACTTTGAAAAATGTTTGCAATTTGCCATAAGGAGAAAAAGAAAATAAAAGAGTTTTGATCAGATGAGACCTAAACCATGCAGAATGGTAGTTGGAGCAGAAAGCTAACAATGTATAAAGACCCTATGTCCAAAGAGAGAAATAGTGAAGACAGCATCATTCTGTGAAAAACGGTAAATGGCCTTTCTTTATCAATTTTTAAGGACCCCAAAACAATTTCCACTACATTAACACAACATTAACAAACTGATGGTAGCTAGATTACAGCCACATCAGCTCCTGGAGCAGAATGACAGAGACAAGGCTGTCATACACAGGCACCACCAGGCCCTCTGACCATCAACAGTAGCCAATGGCATTATTTAACAAGTTTAGGAGAATTTGTTAGATGATGCACGAGATACTGCAGGTATGGGGAAATTCTGGGCGAGGAAATTTACAGGGTCTGCAAATTACTTGTTGCTATACAGATTCCTCTAACAGAAGCAAGGTAATCTTTAACTTACAGTAAGAGCTATAATTGAATTGTTTTGTTGTGTTAACTTTATTTTACCATAAACTAGCATAACCAAATATAGTCTATTCAAAAAAATATAAAACTACATCAATATAGTCTCAGAATCATTATATTTATAATATGAGATCATTGGCTGCTGTTTTTTTATCTCTTGCTTTGGTAAGAAATTAAATCTACATATCCAAGCGGTAAGTGTTGTGTTTTGTACTTCTTAATTTTGTCTTTTAATTGGTTTGTATTCTTTGTGTTCTCATTATATGTTTGTCTGAGTGACATGTGTGAGAGTTTATCAAGTTGGCTATGTGATAGCATTTTAATTTAAGCATTCTATCCATTGACACTGAATTGCACCCATTTGTGTTATCTGTATGGGCTCTATGCACAACACCACCACTTCCTGAATTTAAGGCATTAAGTTTAATCCAGGTGTGGCTGAACTCAGTAATCATGGCCAGACACACCTGGATTAATCAGTTCACCCAATAGAAAAAGACAGGAAACTAAAGAGCTGCCTTAAATTCATGGAGTGGTGGAGTTGTGCATGGAGCCAGCTGTTATTCAGTAGGTCAACTCTAGAAATATGCTGCCATCTGCTGGATGTTACTGCTCTAACTTAAAAAAAAAAAGAAAAGAAAAGAGAAGCTTTTTTTGTAAATAATATTCACATAGTTTCTAATTGTAGAAACTATGTGACTAACTCCTTAATTTAAATATAAACCCTCAAACATAATGTTCAAAAGGTGAGGAGAGGTGGACTCCTTTAAATGTAGGCTAACCTTCCTGAATGTGCGGTTTCACTTTCTATTCCGATGACAGCCGCTCTACAGGGAGGGAAGAGTAGAGACGAACTAATCTGTGTAAACCCAATATTTACTCCTTGTTTGACTCAAACGAACAATGTTGTATGTTTAAGTGGAACAACCGAAGAGCATTTTGGACGGAGAGTTAATCAACCATAAAGGTTGTCAACAGAAAGTTTCTGTTTGGTTCCATTTGTGAACTTTGCGTCATTCATGCGTCTAAGACACAATGGCTTCTGAAGTTTTACCGAAAGGGAACCTGAAAGAAGGTGAGTTATTGTTTTTGTTTTAATTATCCTTTAATCTGATTGTACTTTAACTTAGTTCTCCCTCCAATGTCTGTTATTAGACAGTTTGTCAGCTTTTATTATTAATTTTATTTTCACTGTAGTATGATACTGTACTTGTAAACAAGTTGATACAGATAGGTTGGATAGTCAGCTGTGACGTGTTAAACAGGTTTTCTTTTACAGTATGTTCATAAAGGGCAATGCAAGTGGAAAACTGCGCAAAATAAACTGCTTAGAGTGCAATTGCTTCCTTCAGAAAGTGGTAAAAATTACATTACAATAAGTCACGTGATGTTGTTGAACTCTTCCTGATGGTGCAGCTGAGGAGCTGGCCCTTTCCCTGGGTGAAGCCATCAGCAGTGGAGACTCTGAAGAGGCTGCTAAGCTGTGTGAGAAGCTCTCTGCTCTCTCTGTTGCAGTGTCAGTCAGCATCAAGAACCATGCATACCCTCAGGACTCCATCAGGTGACTGACAATGTAGAAAAAGTCATTTATATTACCTCTAACTGTTAAAAGTTAGTACCGGTAGATTGTCTTGTTTTTTTAACTTTCTGGTTATATATAAATAAACAAATCCTACTAAATGGGTATAATGTTAGATTCATTTAATGAGGTATGTTGTTTTCTTCTCTGTAGATTGATGGTGGGTGTGGAGGATGCCCAGTCAGAGGACTATATTCCAGTGACTCTTGTTGTTTCCTCTGGCATGAAAATTTCAGAACTTAAAGAAAAGGTAAAAAAAATAAAATAAAATAAAAATGAAATCATTGCTTTCACTTACTTTGGTCATAAAAATATCACTGTAGCATCTAATCCATGTGTTCATAAACATTGGATTTTTCTTTATATTTGTCGCAGTGCAACTGCAAAGTGTTGCTTTTTTGTGATTTTTGTTTTTTTTATATGGTAATCCAACAGAAAGTGACTGTTAAAAGAAAGGAAAAGTCTAGTTTTCTACTTCTTGCTATTAAAAACAATCAACTGTGGTGTGTATTTGTATTCAGCACCATATGTATCAGTAAGCAGAGTTGAGCCATCTTTTGCTGGTATTATAGCTGAACGTCTTTTTAGATTAGGTGATATTTTGCACAGTCTTAAAAAAAAAGTAGATAAAAATCTTTTACTGGAGAAAATCTGTACAGCTGACTCCTACGCCTCAGATTATTTGCTAGATTATTCATGTGTGGATAATGGGCCATGCTATTACATTAATGTGCATTCCATTACTGGACTGGTTTTACGTTTAAGGCGTTTTCCCTGCTTTAACTTGTACCCCATTCGAATCTTGAGGCTTTTGAAGCCTTAAAAAGTTTTACTTCCTGGTTTGCCTTGTATTGATTCCCATGCATTCCCTCGTGTATTCTACCCAGCTTTTTCCTGCTGTTAAAAAATGATCCCTTCATGGTTTCATAATAGAATACTGTGTTAAGGCTGCATGCCGTGATTTTTTTTCTCCGTACAATGTATGTTTTGGCATAAAAGGTTACATTTAGGGTTATACTGACAACACCCTTTTTTTTACATGTTTGTAGCCACCTGCTGTTATGACCTACCCCCATGTAGGTTGCAAACACAACATCATACATTATTCTTTCAGCCATGGTTTCTTCTTGTCCCTTTCAATGAAGGCTAGAAGACTATCTATTCTGAACTCTTGATCTCTTTTGGTTCTCTAAACTTCCAAGGGGTCTCTTTACAGCTTTAAGTTATTAGTGACCTATCTTTTGGCCCACTGTCTTCATGATTACTCATGGTCTCCAGCCAACCCTCAAGACCTTTACAGAACAGCTGTATTTGAGTTAAATGACCCACACATGCACTCCACTGGGAATAGGTTTAACTGGATCTAGTTAGAGGTATTAGATCAAATAGGACAAATAAAAATGGATACCAAATGTTTGACATTCTTATTTGTAAAAACATTGTGGTATTTGTTTGAGGTGTGCAATGTATCAAAATATAAATGTTTGCAATACTGCAAATGCAGTAGACTGCTTTGATAAAATATTTGGTAAATTGACACATGGTGGTAATTAAAGTGGCATATGCTCTGCATATCAATTGAAACTTTAGCTGGTTCAATGGTCTCAAACTGGCCTTGATGCACAATATGAGCATATTTTTCTTCCTGGAGATAGCTCACAGAAAAAAAAGATTATTTGTAAGAACTGAAAAGAAAGAAAGGAGCCATCAAATTATGTGTTAATGTAATCGGCGTCCTAATCACAATTTTTCACAAAGCGCCACAATTATGTATTTTCCTTGCATTGCACAGCCCTAATATCTTAGTTTCGTTTCACTTCGACAGTAAGCACTTGTTTCAGTTTGTCTATTTTTAGCACAAAACAGCAAGTTCATGGTTGTAACTTAACTTGACTACTGTGACACCCTTAAACCTGGTATGTGTTTATTCTTTTGAATGTACATTTTTTGCATTCCATGCTGTTCCTTGATCTTCCCAGATCAGCCAGGACTTTGGGTTCCACCCAACACTCCAGCGCTGGGTCATCGGTAAACGCCTAGCCCAGGACCAGGACACGTTATACAGCCACGGCGTTCGCAAGAGTGGAGATCAGGCTTTCCTGTTTATCCTCTCTGCCGATGCTGCCCATCTCACACGGCACCAACACAATCAGGACCAGGAACAGCAGCGTTTGGCTAGTAAGTAAAGCAGTCATCCGTACTGCAGTGACATAAGATGCTTTCTTGTCTTCTGTGCTTATTATTTTCTTTATTCTATTTTTTTTTTTACAACAATTCAGCAGACAGATGGTTTAATCCTTTTTTTTTTATCTCCAAATTAGATAAATGAAGTTGCTAAATACTTTGGCATTTTTTGTGGGCCAAACTGAGTAAATTTGAGTTTATCCAACCAAATCCTGATTTGCAGCACAACATATTACATACTTTAAATTTTCTTATGCTTTGATTGCTCTTCTTTCTTATGCTTTGATTGCTCTCTTTCAGGTATTGTGGAATCTCTGCATTCTATTGAGCTTCAGCCTAGAGGGGTGGGTGTTGCCGAAAAAAGGGCTCCTCCTCATATTCCTCCAAAAAACATTCCTACTCCCAAACCTCCTTTGCCTCCTAAGCCTCAGGTAAGAATCTAAACCATGTAGAATCATAGGTTTGTTAATGTCTGACATTTAAAGCTCTGTTGAAAAATTTGCATACAGTACATGGACATGAATGTGATAGCACAGGGGTCTACAAAGTCTTCCAGGCCAAGGACCCCCAAACTGATGGCGAGATGGAGCAGGACCCCCTAATTATATATATTGTATGAAATTGTATGATATCGGACTGGTCCTATAGTCAGTCTATTTCATATGGAGTAATGTAACAACAGTAATTTCACCCTGGGATTATTAAAGTATGTCTGATTCAGATTTCTGGTTGATGGGACAGGTGTTGTGAATGAAACGGTGCCCAGTTTGAAAGAGCTCCTGTGTGTCGCTGAATCTGTGCATTGATGACTGAAAGACATCTTCTGCCTCCATTTATCTGTTTACGTCAGTGTGTTGAATTCATGTTGATGTGTATTTAAAGACATTTCAATTAGTGGAAAACATTGCAGGGTGGGATATATATAAAAAAAAATAAAATAAAAAAAAAAATCAAATCAACCAAGACTTTCGTGACCCCCATGCAGAACCTCCATGGAGCCTCTGTTGAAGACTTCTGTGATAGCAGTTTGGGGCCTTTTAATTCTTTGAATAAATTGTGCTTTAACAATTTAAACTTTTTGAAAATACATACAGACTGAAACAATTATATATACACCCCCACTTTAATTTATTTTGAGCATCTCTTAATGTCAAACCTTAAGTTCTCAGAGTTTCCAGTTAAAATCCTGGGTTCTTGGGGATCCTGGGTTCGAGTCAGAGAATGTAAGCTTAAAAGTGTGTTTCTAAACAGAACATGATCCTAGACATACATGAACATTTGTTTTATGATAACAGAAGATTAGATAGACTTTATTGATCTCACAGTGGAGAAATTCAGTTGTCACATCGGCTCAATAGTCTAAAGGGGGGAAAAGGTATATGGGATATATAAAGTGAGTCTATATATATATATATATATATATATATATATATATAT